CTGGAGTCCTGCTCTCAGAGCCTGTGGTCTGCATGTTAAGTTTCCACCACAAGATCACTGGTATTCCAGGAGAAAAAATTGTAGTTTCCAGCTGCTGCTTGGTGGGAATAACCTGCAAGAGGCCATGGTCCCTTCCCAAGTCTGCCTTAAATATACTTGTCCACCTGCCCTCAGAGACCTACAGCCCCACCAAGCCCTAAGCAGGGGAAGGGGCTGACAGCCACCATCTATGGATATCCACTGGGCTGCTGCTCCTCTGAGGCCTTTCCAAATGAGAGGTGCCCCAGGGCACTGTGGCATTCCCAAATGCCTTTGACCAACAGGGAAAAGGAGAAGGGTTGTGCTATTTGTAAGGCACTTGTGGGTTCCAGAAATGATCAGGTTACAGTGTTCTACAGGTAGGTAAAGTAAAGGATAAACAAACTACCTTTCCATCCTTCAGATTTTCAAGTCTTGGGCTGGGTATTTAGCTCAGTGGTTCTGCAGCCTGCCTTGCAAGCACAAGGTCCAGAGTTCAATCCCCAGTACCAAAAAAAAGATACAGATTTTCAAGTCTTGGGAGTGTAATAACCTCACCTAGAGAAAACTGCACTGTCCTCTCTTGGGAGCTATCCAGTCCCCAATCCCACACCTAGCCCCATCCTATCCTCATCACTATTAGGCTGGGCTGGGCTGGACTGGCCAGGCCACCTGAGATGGGCCCACTTGGCATCCTTCCTCAGTGCTAACAAGCTAGAACTGAGATACAGCCAAAACAGCATGAGGTTGCAGCCAGGGGTCAGGCTCCAACATGGAAGAAAAGCAAAATGGTAAGGGAAGGTAGCAGACCTCAGTGGACTGGTTCTAGTCCATTTCTGAATACATCCAGCCCTTTCAGAACATTCTGTTGTAAAAATCTAGTTCAGATTTCATCTCTATTTTTTGGTGTGTGTGAGGTTACCAGGGATCGAACTTGAGACCTTGCATTTTCGAGGCAGGCAGTGGAACCACTGAGCTAAATCCCTGGCCCTCATCTCTATTCTTAATATGGTGTCTTCAGACATGAAAAAGAATTTATCTAGATGAAACAGCACACTACTGCAATGACACTAGAAGCTACATGTCTTCATCATCTAGAACTTCCCACTTGTCCTCAGATCTCCACAGCACTTTATACCTGAATTTTGCCCAGTAAACACCTTGAGTGACCTAAAAACACTCTCTGATATAAAAATTACAAATTTCGAATGGTGTTACATGCCTGTAATCCCAGCATTCGGGAGACTAAGGCAGGAAGGTTATAAATTCTTAGCTAGCCAGGCCAATTTATCAACTTAGCAAGGTCCAGATGCAAAATAAAAAGGGCTAGGGATGTAGTTCAGTGGAAAAGCCCCTGGGTTCAATCTTCAGTACTGATAAAAAAACGTTTTACGAAAGTCTCTAAAAGGACTTTTCCAGAGCAATCACCCATTTCTGAGGCCCTCCGAGCTTTCCAGATGGCCCTCTGGGAGGCTCCCAGAACTCAGCAGTACAGAATTTCACAGATGTGGGATGACTAGGACAGGAAGTGTTGAAACATGGAACTGAAACCACAACTAAGCAGAGCAGGGTGTCACCAACCATGGGACAGAAGCCTCTGCCCACAGGGCCCCTACCCTCCCAGCTCTGGGCATCTGTTCCCTCAGGCTCCACCCTGCTGCCCATTGTCCCTCCTTTGCTATTGCACTCACTCTCAAGGCTCCAACCAGCTCTGGAGTCAGGTATCTCCAGGCCCAGATTGTTCTCCCGGCCCAGCTCCGCATTCTGAAATGTTTAACACACTCTGGCACTGATGTAATATGTGCACCACCTTCCCCAAACAACTCCTCCCGATTCATTCCACACTACAGGGAGGAGCCCCCTTCCCAAGGATCTATTGTCAAGTTCAAAACATCACCTGTCACTGCCATACAGCACCACACTATGCTATCACTGAAGACACTAATAGATATTGACTGAGAGAATGTTAGCAGTATGTGCCAAGAGCAAACCAGAATGTACAGTGTGTGCATGTGTGTGTACATGTGCACAGACAGTACAATGCAATGAAACAGGGCTTTGGCGCCTGATACACCTAATGGAGTCTGTGACCTTATGGAAGTTAAACTCTGAGCAATTGATTTTTTAAAAGTATAAGACATTCAGGGCCAGGGATTTAGCTCAGTGGTTCTGCCACCTGCCTCTCAAGCGCAAGGACCTGAGTTCAATCCCCGGTACCGGAAAAAAACCAAAAAAACCAGACTTTCAGCTGGGTGTGGTGGCACATACCTATGATGCTAGCACTCAGGAGGCTGAAGCAGGAGGATTGCCATAAGTTCAAGGCCAGCCTGGGCTACCTAGTGAATTCAAGGCCAGCCAGAACTACACAGCAAGACCTTCTTTCAAAAAATAAATAAATAAGCTGGGTGTGGTACCACATGCCCATAATCCTAGCACTTGGGAGGCTGAGGTAGGAGGATAACCGTGAGTTCAAAGCCAGCCTGGGTTACATAGTGAGTTTGAGGCCAGCCTGGTCTACATAGTGAGACCCTGTTTTTTTTAAAAAATAAAACCAGACTTTGAGTACCTATCCCATGGAGAATTTATAATAAGGATTAAGTAAAACAATGCATGTAAAGGACTTGTATTTTGCCTACATAAAAGATACATTAGCAGTGACCATCTCTTCATGACAGGAGTATCATTTTTAATTGTTTTGCTTAGCTGCACTTGCCATAAAAAAGCTTAAGTCAACTTTTTCATCACCTTCCTGACCCTAGTATTTAATGAGCAACAACTGCTTCACAGCAACAGATTGCACACCTCTCCTGTGCACACCTGGGCATCTCCCCAGGAGCCTTGGAGATCAGTTCTCCCTAGGTATCTGCTGCGTCTTCGGGGTCCAGGCCAGGCTGTGCCCTTCTCCTGCCAGAGGCTCCTCTAGGCTTCCAACAGCCCAGGCCACCTCCAAGGGTCCCCTCAATCAGACTCCTGGGTTGGCCAGGTTCAGGCTCACAGTCCCAGCTTTCTGCCACCTTCCTGGTGATCTCTGCCCTGTCACCTGAGGCCTTTTACCAGCACTGAAGGCTCCTGAAGGGAAGTCCTAATTTCTGCCTTGGGATTTCTTCCTTCCACCGTGAATTTATCAAATTCTGCCCTGACATTCATTCATTCTTTCTTTTTGCAATACTGGGGACTGAACCCAAGGCCTCATGCATGTCAGGCTAGTACTCTGTCACTGAGCTACATCCCCGACCTCTGTCCATGACTTTTTGTTATGTCACTTAGTCACCTATTTGACATCAAACTTTCAAATTAAATGGATCAACATAGACATTCTGCAGATGATTCAGAAGTGAATACCCTGATCTTTGCGGGCAACACCTCCCAAATGGGAGTCTCAGCATGAGCTGCCTTTTGGGACCCACAGCTCCAGGTCAGTAAAACTCTTTAAGGCCCAAAAGATAGTACTTTTAAAGACCCATGACAATGCATGAAAGGACTTGTCAAGGCCTGCAGTCATACCTTATATTTATCATCATAAGTACCAGGCAGACTAGAGATGGCTGTTTATTTTCCCTGCGCTTCATATTGCTATGGGAGGGGAGCTCTGGGCCAAGGAGTAATTATAAGGCTGCCCCTCCTTCACACCAGCAGGGACCTGGAAAATACTTCTGGCACTGGTTGGCTCCCTGCCACCACTGCAAGTCTCAAGTCTCAAGTCTCGGGAACATGTTTATAAACCAGAGCTTCACCACAGGAGTGGCTCTGAGCCTGTCCTGCCTCTCATTCAAGAAAGGAACAGGGTGGGTCTTCCTACCTCACCCCCAGTTTACACTATGTCCAAGTTCAGGCTGTAAACAGTGGATTCATCCAAGTAAAATGATGTTCACCAGCTGTGCCACACTCCTGTCACTTAATGTTTATTAATAAATAAAAGCCCTTGGCTTGGAACTCAGGTGGTTTGGAGGCTTTTTGTTTGTTTTTGTAGTGAAGATTGAACACAGGGCCTTCATCCTGAGCTACATCCCCAGCCTTTTTTATTTTTATACTTTATTTTAAGACAAGAACTCACTAAGTTGCTTAGTCTAGGGTCGAACTCACCATCCTCCTGCCTTAGCCTCCCACAGGCGCACACCACCAAGTGGGCTCAGGCGTAAGTGGTTTTCAAAAAGCTTTCCAGTCAGAACCAGAAATCACTTCAAAGCCAGGTGCAGAGTGGGCCAATTTCTAATTGAGCAAAAAGTGTGAAGCTTGCTTCCTGGATTAAATTAAGTCTTAGTTTTCCAAACAGATATGCTTCTGGAAAAAAAAAAACACTGTGCATGTTTAGTTTTTATAAGCAATATGTTAAAAGCACTAGATGTTTATTTAAAAGATCCCTTTAGCAATTCTTCAGCAAACTTATTCATGGGGGGAAATGCGGCATTCCTATATTAGGTTTCCTTAATAAAGCATTTACCCGGCCCAGGGGAGGGACACCCGACTAGCAAGAGCAAAGGGGGCGGGAGCGATCAGGGCACGTGCTGGTTAGGAACTAGGGCGTTTCCAACCCCTCAACCCCCACCCCTGGCCTGAGCCCAAGGGAGGGCGCGCTGGGGCTAGACCCGCCGGGGCCCACATCCCAGCGCTGGCTCTGCTCCCGGCGGCTCCACAACCGTGGTTCGGAGCCCCACGCTCTTCACTCCCAGGACTGGGAGAAGCTAAGCCCCGGCGTCTGGGGCGCGGGCACCATCCGAGCGGCCACGCGGACTTCCCCTCCCGGAGCACCACGCCTCCCCTTCTTCTGGGTGGCCTGGGGAGGGCTCCCCCGGGTACCTCACGGCCCACGAAATCGAACTCCGGACGCGCGGCCCGGGGACGGGGAGGGAAAGCTGTCTATCTGCCGTCCACACCAGCGGCTCACGAAAGCACCCTGGATGCCGCGGCAGCCTGTTCACCGCCGGGCTCCGCAGCACCCCGGGGAGGTGCACCCCGCATCCTGTCCGCCCGAGGACCCTTACCATCTCCTTGCGCAGCAGCGCCAGAGCGGCGTCCAGGTTGGGGGGCTTGGCTCGCGGCCCCGATGCCCGCGCCCCGCCGCCGCCCGCGCCCCGCCGGCTCAGCTCCTCCTGGATGCGCGACTTCTGCGCGTAGAGCCGCTCCAGGTGCCGCCAGCCGCCCGCCGTGCCGCCCGCCGCCGAGTGCAGCAGCCCGCTCAGGCTTTTGGGCAGCGGCGGCAGCCCGTCCACCCGCAGACCGCGCGCCCCGGGCCCGCTCATCGCGCCGCGCCGGCCACCAGCCGCGGCCCAGGTCTCCGCTTCCCGCCCCGCCCCCCGGGTCTCCACCCCGCGCCGGACACGCCCCTCCCAGGCTCTCCGCCCCGGTGGACACGCCCCCCCTTGGGTCTCTTCCCCCGGCGGACACGCCCCCTCTCCAGGTCCCCCCCCCCCCCCCGCCTCCTTCTCAGCTGCAGGACCCAGGGTCCCTCCAAGGCCCAGTCCCGTAGCCAAGCTCGACTCCAGCCAACCCCAGCCCTTTGCATCCCGCCCCACCATCCCCATCCCGCTCACCTCGAGCCTGACCTCATCTCCCACTACCACCAGCTCCACCCCGGCTCCTGATACCCCGGCATCTGCCCAACGGAACCGGCCCGCTCCGGACCAGCCCCCAAAGCTGCAAGTAACTACCGTGGGAGCCCCAGCTCAGCTCGGGGAGGAGACCAAGTGTCAAGTCCGAGGGGCACTGGGGAGGGCTAGGGACCGAACTCTCTGGTTTCAGCAAAAGGCAATATCCCCGGACCTGCCGTAGCCCAGAAGACCCTGAAACCCTCTCGGGGAACTTCAAAGGAGCAATAGACGGGTCTCTCCGCCTGGCCGTGAGCATGAGAGTATTTTTAAATTGAAATGTCGGGAAAGTAGAAGAAAAGATTAAATCTGGGAAACTACCTAACTCAGGCAAAAATAAACGCGGCTCACACGTCCAAGACGAGAGAAGAGAGGGAGATAATGCACCTTCCTGGAAGATTGAAGATGACAGATAGCTGCATTCAGATTAGAGAGGGGGGAGACAGGAAGTAAGGCCTTCCTCCACCCGAGCAGAGGGAGAATCTGTGAAGCTGTAGAGTGTCTGACTTTAAGGCCCGTGACTATTGAGTTTAATTATAAAGGGACCTAATTAGTCTAAATGCATTCAGTAGGAGCATAATTATACTGGTAAAGGGTTCTGAGTGATTCAGACACCCAACATAAAAGCACCCTCTGGTTTGGGGGCTTTAAAAAAATCTTTAATCTACCACCTGTAGAGTCACCCTGGAAGCAATGTGTGAAATTGCCCTTGGGACAGGGGAGACTGGGTGAGAAGCTCCAGCCCAGGGAGGCTTCCAGTAGTTACCTATTGTCATTCATTCATTCACCTGTTTCAGCAGTGGATGACTTCAGTAGAGTTGCCAGTTGGCCTGTGTGGGAGGGAGGAGGGAAGGATGGGAAGCTACCTGACCTGCTTCACACCCCAAGTGGATTCCCTTCCTTTTGTCTGTCACCTTGCTATCTCTTCTGCAGTACCTAGCTGACATCACTCAGACTGAATGATGGGAGGGTTGGCTCCATGGTGGTGCAATAAGAACTCATTCCAAAGCACTGAGGCGCTGAAATTACCTGAGAGGACATCCCTCAGAAGATGAGGGTATGGAAAGACACAGGGTTAGGTCCAGCTGGATAACAGCACAAGGTCCTTGATGTCAGCACAATGCCAAACTCACAATTTTATTCTTTAAGCTTTAAAAAAAAAGGTTTTTGAGGTAGGCTCTCATTATGTAGTCTAGGCTGGCCTTAAACTTGCTATGTACCCCACACTGCCCTCAAACTTGTGATGTGCCTGCTGTGAGGTCTGAGGAGGTCCCCTAAAAAGGAGCTAGGGACCTCGATTCACTCAACTCAGAGGGTAGCTTGTAGGTTTCCTAACTTCCATCACAGAAAAAGAATTTCAAGATGTATCAGTGAGGGGCATAAAGAGTTTTATTAGGCAGAATTTTAAAAGTACACACTGAAGTGTGAACTCTCAGAGAGACACGTTATGGTCAGGGTTTGGGGTTCTTGTGTAGTCTTGGGTTTGTTTTCAAGATAGGTAATCTAGAATGTGTATTGGTACAGTTTGTGAGGTTGCCCATCTGGCGGGCTGGGACTGTTGTAATACAAACCATTTACTGTATGTGTGTTTGAAGCTGAGATAAGCTGCCTGCTTCCAGGAGGAGGAAGGGCAATTTACAGGGGAAAAGCACCACCCAGAGCCCAATTTACAGGCTAGTTTAGTCTTTAAGACCCTTAGGAATTTTTTGGAATAAGTTTCCTTGAAAGAGAAAAGGTTTGAATAACTCTCTGTCTTGAAGCTGCAGGGTTTTTTAAAAATACAACTTGAAACTTAACAATGTTCCTTATCTCCTTTTCACCTTTTTTTTTCTATCCTACCTTGATACCTCAGCTTCCTGAGTGCTAGCGTTAGAGGTGTGCACCAACACACTTAGCTAACCTCATAATTTTAAAGGTAGGGTGTGCATTCTGGTTTGTACTCAGTGAGATGATGTTGAAATCCATATCAACAAATATCATCTCAAACAGATTTTTTTTTGTAATTATGTAATTTTTAAAAATTAAATTCTTTTATTGATACATTGTAGGTATACAACACAATTACATTTCTCATTGGGAATTGTACCTTTACATAATGCATCT